CTTTAAAGCTCTCTCAGGATGGCATCTGACAACCTCTGGTCTAATTTAAAGAGTCTTATAGTATTTTTTACGTAACAGTCTTCACTGTCAAAGTGCTTCACAAACTTGAATTCTTGATTTGGGAGGAGGATCTCAGGAGACCTTTGTGGAAGAGCAGTGTTCCCCCTGTGAAGAGGAACAGGGACCAGACTGAGGGATCTACGATGCCACTTGCTCAAAGCCACAAATAGAAGCAGCTTTAGTCGATTCCTTCTTCAGTGTTTACACAGGAATTTCTGCTAACACAGTCTGAGCTAACATGAAGCTACTGTTTACGTTGGCTTTTAGTTTTGCCTGATAAAAAGATCCTGAGATGACTGGGGTGTTGGGAGCAGTGAGGGATACTCGGTTACTCTCAGTTTCCTTCCAAAGAAACGTTTGGTGCTTGTTCTGCAGCTGTTCAGCAGCTCAGGACATCATCTGCCCTTCCCCTTTGTGGTGGCTCGAGCTGTGCAGCTGAAAGGGGGATGTCACTGCACTGGAACATGATCCCCACAGCTCAGTGTCACTGGAACATGATCCCCACAGTGCTGCAGAGCCACCGGTGCATTCCAACAACCTGCTGATCTCCCCCGGCGTTCTGCTGTAATGTCTCCTTTCCTAGGATGTGAATTTTGCTATGATTTTTTGGTTTCTTTTTCTTCCATTCCATTTATTTTTGTAATTAGGTGATTTAATAAAACTTGGCTGTTTTGTATAATTTTTAAGGCGTGTGTTTTCAGCCATGAGGCTTTGTGGAAGTGTGACAACGTGAGCGTGCCCATGGAATGGGACGAGCGTTCCCCCACGGGCTGGGAAGAAAACCCTGCTCCGTGCAGGCGTTCCCCTTTGGGGGCTACAGAAACCATCACTAAACCCGACCGTGCTCTGGGGACCTCATCCCGTGCACTTGTGTGTCCTCCAACCCAAGTAAGGGTTTGGGAGCTCCACATCTGAGGTTAGGGGCGAAGCGCAGGCAGCCTGCGGGAGCTCCGGGGTGATGCTGGAAGGACGGGGCCCGAGTCCAGGAGAGGCCCAAGCACCCCCGGTGTGGCGGAGGGACCGCGAGGCTCCGCGGACCCCTCGGTCCTGGCGGTGCCCGGCGGTGCCCGCGGCAATTCCAGCGGAGGCGGCTCCAGCCCCGGCCGCTGCCGCCGCTCCCAGCGCGCCCGGCGCTGCCGTCACTTCCCGGCCGGCGCGCTTCCATCCATCACTTCCTGCGGGGACCCACGAGGAGGGGACAGCGCCTCTGGGACCCGGCAACGAGCTGGCAGGGCCACCCCGCGGCCACAATGGCCAGCCTGGCCGCCCAGGACTCCTACTTGCAGGGCTTGGCCAGGAGGGTCAGCGCGCAGCACCCCCCGGAGTCGCGGAAGAGGAAATTTGGTAATGGGGCTGTAACCCCCTTCGGCTTCTGCCCTCTCCGGCAGCTTTGTGGGAGTCTGGGCGCGACAGCCTAATGTCCACGGGGTGCTTGGCCCCCGGGCAGCGGCGTTGTGCCGTTTTGTAAGAATTAAACAATCTCTGCTGAAACTCGTTGTGCACGTTGCACTGGGAGCTCTGGAAATCGGCGGTCTCCGTTCATTGTGGTGATGGATGTGGGAGAGCTGGGCTTATACTGAAGTGTGCAAGCATGTTTGGTCTATTTAAATAAATCCTAAAATGTGTGATTTTTGAACATTACGATATGCCATTGCAATGCTGAAACTTTAATCTTCAGTAATAGCTGAATCTTATGAGTGAGAAAGTAGCATTGTCCTGTTTTGTGTAATTTGGTTTTGCCTTCTAGTGCCTAAGCCAGGCCAGCCTGAGGATGCTGGCAGACAGCCCAAGAAACAGAAGAGAAAGAAACTGAGGAAGCAAGCTGAGAAGAAGAATGCACCTTCAGTCAAACAAGTGGTTTCTAACCCCAGTAAATCCACTCCAGGACAGAAAGCAGCCCCTCAAACCAGCAAATCCTCTCCACAGGGTGTAAAACAGAATAGGAATGAGAGTTTGACCACAGGTAAGAATTCCAGCATTGCCATGATCTGTTTAAAGTGACCTGGGCTGAGGTGGCTGCTTTTCAGTTGCTTCACACATGTCTAGTTTTGAAAGCCTTGAAGAAATTCAGCTGAATTGAGAACATCTTAACTTATTCCATGTGCCCTGAAAGCTTTTGCCTATGGACACAAATTTGTGCCATCACCACTGGGTGGCTCTCTAGAAACGGTGTTTAAACTGAAATGCAGACTTTTTAATGTATTTGTGTAACTTTGGGAATTATGCATGGATACAATCCCTGTCCTGCCAGGTCAGTTTTCTATTATGACTCTGAAAAGCCAGATCACAGAGAAAAGATGTCCTGAGCGTCTCTGCTTCCACAAGCTTGGTACTTGCCAGGCAGCCCCAGGGCATGCCAGGCCACTTGCTGGCAGTGTTGAATGATAATATGGAGGGAAAAGGGAGAATTCTAAAGAAACCAATGAAATAGAAACTCTTGGTTTGTTCAGATTTTCCGTTCCATTCACAGCATCTCAAGAGTTCCCGGAGCTTTTCCCACAGCCATAGAAAGTGCTTCTGTTTAGCTGGTGCTGTCTTTTAAGTAGTTTTATTTTCTTCCTCTCATTTTCAGGGAGTAAAAGTGAACTGAGTTCCCCTTCTGTTTCTGCAATCAATCTCTTGCGTCAGAGACTGCACGAGAAGATTAAAAAAGCTTCTGGACAAGTAGGAGAACTTTTAATATGTGTTTCTACACTATAAATTCTCCTCAGCCTCCCAGGGGATGTGGGGAGAGGATCTCAAGGCTCAGGGTTGGAGCTGTTTCTGTCTCCTAAGGAATTGCCAGTAGGTATTGCTGGGAGACCTCTCTGTGTTCTGTGGAAAAAACACATGAGAAGAGGTGGGGCCAGGCTTGGAGGAGAACATGCCTCTGGTGATTTTCAGGAAAAAGCAAAGCACTGAAGGGGAACAGCTACAGGCTGTTGGGAGAGAGTAAAGGTTTTGAAATGCCTGTGCTGTGTTTAGTGTCTCTAACAGCTGAGCTCCTTGTCACAGTTGGTGTGCTTCTTAGGGGAAGTTTGAAATCAGGACAGCCCACTTTCAACTCTGCTTTTATCCCTTTAGGGCTCATTCATGTCCATTCTTCTTCTTAGGATAATGCCAAAGAATTAACCCCTGCAGTCCTGGAGAAGAGGCAGCGAAGGAAATATGAGAGAGAGAGAAAGAAGCGCCGAAGAAAGGAGTTGAAGATGAAGGCAAAAATGGAGAAGAAAGAAACTAAGGAGGTACCAGTAGAGCCAGAAAACAAAAAGGAGGAGAGCAGAGCTGAGATTGTCTTTAACAGAGTTGAAGTCCATGAAGAAAACGAGCTGAACAAGATCCAGAAGAAGAAGGAGAAGAGGAAAGCAGTGAAAGGCAATATCACTCCTCTGACAGGCAGGAACTACAAGCAGCTACTGAGCAGGCTGGAGACGAGGAAGAATAAGCTGGAGGAACTGAAGGATAAGGATGAGAAGAAAGCTCAGGAGCTGGAGACCAAGATAAAATGGACAAATGCTCTGTATAAGGCGGAAGGTGTGAAGATCCGTGACAACGAGGAGCGGCTGAAAGAGGCTCTGAAGCGCAAGGAGAAGCGCAAAGCCCAGCGCAAAAGGCAGTGGGAGCAGAGGACAATAAGGGTGGTGGAAAAGATGCAGCAGCGGCAGGACAAGCGGCAGAAGAACATCCAGAAGAAGAAGAAGGAGAGGATGGAGAAGAAGAAAGCCAGGGCCAGGAAGAAAGGCCGGGTTCTGCCAGAGGACTTGAAAAAAGCTGGGTTAACGTGAGAGGGAGGCAGCTGGTCCTGGCAGCCCAGATTCCAGGGCGGACTGTCCCTCTTGTGTGCCACTGTCCTGGGGGAGGCAGTGCCTGGGGACATCAGGCTGTGGGGCAGGCACTGCCACGGCTTCCCAGCTTCATCACAGGGGAAAAAAAAACATGTGTGTTTGTTAATAAAGTTTTCTATCCCAAGGAAACACCTTCTGGCTGGTTAATAATAAGAATTATTATTACTTTCCCGAAGAGGAAATGCTGGTTGCCGTCACTCCTGATGTGCTGTAGGGTGTGTCCCTCATGCCGTGGGTGCCACCAAGGGAACCCCTGGGATCGGTGGGATTCAGAGGGGGCAAAAATAAAGGAAAAGGAGTGCATAGAGCAAACAAGATGCTTGTGGTTTGAATGGATTAGGAGCTGCCTTGAGGTCTTTATGTTTGGGTGAAATACCTTTTTAGCAGCTTTGTAATCATTCATTTCATACTTGGGACCTCTAAGAAATTCCAGCAAGAGCCCGAGTGCAATCTGAGTTTGAGATGCAGGCTTTTTTCTCAAGAGAAGGCAGTTCTTTCCTTTTGGGAGCTAATGAAAGGGAGAGGAAGATCTTACATCTTTAGCAAAATTTAAATATGGCTGATAGTTTGATTTCAGAAGCCTTTAAAAGGAACACAGAGAATTGTTCATATAGTTCTAGTGTCAAAGGCAGAAAATAAGTAGCCTCTGCACAATCTTCTGACACAAGGGAGCAGCAGCTGGATTTAGGTAAAGTAAAACTATTTCATCACTATCAACTTTATGCAGAAATACAGGTGTAAACTTGAGCAGCTGTTTGCCCAGGTCAAGGGAGAAAGTGCAGCTCAGCTGCTGCAATTCAGCGTGGGGGAGATTGGTGGGGACAGTCCAGAAGATAAAGCCACTGCTCTGAGAGGAGTCAAATCTTGCAGGTGTCCTGGTCCTGGCTGGTGTAACCTGAAGTTTGTTCTAAGGTCAGTGATGTTACAGACTGAGCCCAATAGAATTTTCTCTTAGCAGCATTGAAATAAGCTATTTTTTTTCCTTATCAATAAAGCTCCGACGAATGTGCTGGGAGCGAAACGCAGGCTGGGCAGTGCTTCCCAGCTGGATCCCTGCCAGAGTACAGTTAACTCCTGCTGGTGCACCTGTAATATGAGACTCTGAAAAGTGAGAAACCCAAGCAGTGGCTTTGTGCCGAGGTCTGTGTTCAAGCCTCAGGTGTGATTGAACACGCCCGTGTCACGGGAGCCAAAGGCAGCTCGTTTAATACCAAAGTCCAGCAAGGAAACCTCTTCCTCGGCAAAGATGGAGCCCTTCCCGTGGATATCTTCTCTTTCTCCACGTTCTGGACGACACTGCACTCACAGCTCGCCACTTCAGTTCTAGGAATCTGAAACACAGGTTTGGAAATCTGAAATAGTCGATCTGCAAAGAACATTTTGCACGGAGTGGTCTACAAGTGAGGTATTTATCTGCAGTTCAGAATGTTTTCCAAGGCAGGGCTTGAAGATAAAGTAGTGCTTTGTTCCGGGAGGTCAAGTAAGTTCATTTGGGAATAACAGAGCTACTTTCAGCCATATCCATTTTAAAAGAACTCTCTGAACAAATTTGAGGAACCTGAGTAACTATTAAAAATGCTTTAGCTGTGTTTTGTTTTTAATTGGAGATTCTGTTATCAGCTGCAACCACATCCATTTCATTTTTATTTGCATTCATGGTGAACTCTGGGGCTGTAAATCAGTTGAGGTAAATGTCAGCGAGATGATTTTAGATGCAGGAAGATGTTCCAGCCTCATCTGGCTCCAGCATTTTTGCAGGTTTGTAACACAGAAACTGAAGCAAAGGGAGAATACATCAGCTCTGCTCCTAATGATGCAATAACTCAAAATACATGGGTTACTTGTCCTCATATAGGAGTGTATGAACTGTGGCAGCATTTCAGTTTTGTGGGGGGAATCCAGCTTTACTTAGTACTGGTGAGGGCTCAGAAAGAGAATTTGGGCTGGTTTGGCACCAGATTTCAGGAGAATGGGCTGATTAGAGAGAGTCCAGTCAGAAATGACAGATCCTGGATCTTGCAGTTAGGAGACCACAAAGAAAGATTGAAGGAGCTCACAGAGCAGAAGAGGGAAGGAAACATCAGAGCCTTCAGGTATGGGAAGGGGAGTCTGCAGGTGTGTGATCACTGCCATAAACAGGCACAGACCTAAACTGCAGTGAGTGAGATCCTGATTGGAATTTGGAAGCCTGCTGCTGAGAAGGGCAGGACAGCACCAGCACCTGCCCTGTGTCTGACCAGCTCTCGAAGAATGGTTGAAAAACAACTGTTTGAAGCTGGTGAAACCATGGAATAACAGCTAGAAGGGGAAGGCTGTTTGCACATCCTTCTACTTCTGTGGATCTGCAGCATTTTTAGGCAAGAATCCAAAACTGCTCAGCAGGAATCCATGAAGGCTTTAACTGGTGGAAGGCCTTAAGATATTTAATTAATTAATTAATGATTATTTTTTAATAGGATTTTGCGATGCTTCTTGGCAAAAGCTAATTAGATTGCCTGACAGGAGAGTGAGGAAGAAGCACCAGAGAGGATTTCTGTACAGCATAGTAAAGCAAATTAAAGAACTTCTGCCATTTTTCTTTTTATGAGCAGAGAAATTATAGCAGGAAAATCACCTCTGCCTTTTCAGATCCACTGGCACTGGTTTATGCCTTACCAAGGGCCAGGACAGTAATGATTTCTGTGGTTACTTCAGCATCCTCCAAGAAGCACCATATACCACTTACTCCCACTGACATAAATGCTACTGACTCTATAAATAGAAGCCTGACAAACAGCTTTTTTCTTTTTTTTTTTCCACATCCCCCTACCCCTCTCCCAGGTTCCAATCACAGAGGAAAGTGTTTTCCTCTAACTGGAGCCTGCTTTTGGTCCTTCCAGCCAGCCTGGAAAGCTCCACAGGATGCTGTGGATGGGTGCCAAGCCTTATCCTCAGCTCCCTATTTCTGTCCCCTCTGAAGGTAATAATGAATGTAATGGCAATTAACGTGCTTGTAACAAGCCCCTTTGGAGGACCCCTGCAAAGGCTTTGTGTGTTTGTCACACATGGTTCACACTGTGGGCACCTTTGCTTCCCTGTGAACAGAAAAGGGATTGATTTGAGCTTTCAAGGTAAGACAGCTGAGCCTGGGGAAGTTAATTTTTATGGCTGTTAGAAAGGAAATAATTTCTTTGACTTGCAGAGAAATATTACCCAACATACGTTAGGATTGTGTAATGTTTATTTGCTGGTATCACACCTCAATTTACCTTTCTTACTCCTTTGCAGGGAGTGTCTCTGGCAGCTATTTTCTGTGAAAGGTGGGGTTTATCAGCTCAGGTGATAACTGTATTAGCTCTCTGATGGGACTGGAGTGGGTGAGTTGATTACACTGCAAAGGGAGTGTGCTTCAGCTGAAAAAATGGAATCTACAGAAATTGTAATCAAATCAGAAAGGCCCCTCATGCACTACACCTGGGGTTAGAGAGGTTTCTCAGACAGTTCACAGGTGCTGCCTCAGTGACTAAATGTCCTGGTTCTTACAGTCTGGCTCCTTCTGTGCTCCTGATTTAAGAAAGACAGAAACAGAAAGTGCTTGAAAAGCTTCATCCTCCTCTGAGAACATAATTGATTCCTCTCAGACACGTACAGCCAACTCCCTTTGCTTTTCTATCTTTGCAGATTGAAAATGGTGGAAGCCAGAAGTTGCCCTTCCTTCTACTCTTTCCTGATTTCCAGGAAAGTGGTGGCATCTCTTGTCTGTCTGGTGGTTGTTACTGCAGTTATCTGGTAAGCATTTGCTGGCCAGCTTGGGCATATTTAAAACCCCCCGTCTATATACTGTGGTAAAACACACAGGAGCAGAAAAACACAGGCTGTGCATTTTGTGGGAAGTCCCTGTTAGAGCTGTAAGGAAGAACAGCAATTTGTATCACAGATGAAGGAGCACTACTAGGGAGAGAAGGCTCCAAGGGAGAGAGCAAAAAGAGCAATTGTGTCTCAGTCGGGATGGTACTGACACACAAACAAATGCTTAGGTACAGAATATTCCAGTTACATTTCAGTTCAGGCCTTAACAGAGGTGATTATCTGTCTCTTCAAACAGTCCAAACTCATTCCAGTGTCACCAGGGACAGCTTTGTAGCTGTCAAACATTGCAGCTTTCAAACACTGGGGATTTTGTAACTTTGAGTATTCTGATGACTGTGACTTATGGATTCTCTTGAGCAAACTCAAACATTGTTTGAAAGGAATCTGAGATCAGGCATTTCTATGAATTATTAAATTATTGATTATTAAATTATTACTCATGATCCCATATTTCTGATGTTTCAATTTGCTGCATTTTCACCCTGTGTGTAGTTGCATTTATGCCTTAACAGCAGGATATTATGTTAAAATTTAAACACACCAGATCCTACACTATTAATTAAAGTAGATATGGAGCTGGCTAAAGCTACCTTTCAAAATCTGTGCCAGACCTCCAGATCATCTTGGAAAATCCTAGGAAGATTTCCTTCAACATTACCTCTTAAAATGTTTCTCTGCTCTCCCAGGATTACAGCTGCGAGTGGAAAAGTGCACTACCTTCCCTACTACCTTCCTTGCCCTGAAATCTTGTAAGTACCCTGGTTTGTGTGCACTGAGTAACACAGATCACAGGAGCTGTTCCTCACTGACAGCACACGCAGTGATTAACAAGTCACTTGTTCCTTATTTTATGAATCTACAATGAGTCACTCTTAGAACAGAAAGGTAACAATGCAGCCTGTGCTTTTTGGACCTGCCTGCCCCACAGGACAGCTCTGGATTTGCACAGCCTGAGTGAGGCTTTGCTTGTGGTGGGCTACAGAGACCAGGACTAACAGGTTAATGTCCCTTACCAAGACCTACTGTTCTTGTAAAAGCAAAACTGTGCAAATAGAAAAGATGATGTTTTACAGAGGCATTCCTGGTTATTTCAAGCCACAATAAACCATTGTGTCCAGTCAGATGCTTATTTCTCTGGATGCTGTTGGCAGTGTGATGTATTTCAGACAGTTCAGCCCTCCAGGTGACCAGGAACAGCTATTTGGGAAGTGGAGCACACACATGACCAGCACTGACAGTCCCCAACATGCCTGTGCTTCCCTGGATTTTGAGCCTTAAACCCTGATTTACCCACAGGCTCGGATTGCTGCCAGTATCTCTCTGCCCCTGTTGTGTTTTGTGTTCTGTTCCAAAACTGTCACTTGTCTGGCAGCCCTGGAAGGTGTGTACAGGTGATGCCTAACCCTGCAGTGTGCACAGCAGCTTGAGCTGCACTTGGACAGCTGTCAGTGCAGCAGCAGGTCCTGAAGCTGGTTTATATTTTAGGAAAGCATAACAAGCCCTTTCTTTTTCCACCCCATCATGCAGCTCCATAAAACTCCAATATACAGAAGAGAAGCTAATCCAGCTTTTCCCCCAGTAAGTACTGGCTTTTTATCTCCCGACCTTTAAACTGCTGTTCCTCTCTTCCAGGCATATTCATGTATTATTCAGTGGATATTTCTTCCTTTTTACAGATTATTTTATCAGCAGCCAAGAGTGCTGGCGCCAAAGTAAGTTTCTTTGTTTGAACTTTATTTCTTCTGACTTTGGTTTGGGCACTGTGCAGCACTCACAGTTCCAAAGTCCTGGGACAAGCTGAAAAGGACCTTGTTCCATGAGAATCCAAACCATATTGGGTGTGTGCTGCTGTAACATTGAGTTTAGTCACTTGTTAACACACTTCCTGTTAATTCCCAATTAATTCCTTAGCACACACACACAGTCTGTGTGGTTGCTGCCAGGAACTCTTTTTTGAGGTGGGAGATCTGTAATAGCTGTAAGACAGAAGTACCTTCTGGAACTGTGTAACCAGCTGTGGGAGAGCTTTGAACCCATTTCAGGGCAAAATCAAGCAGGTGCTTTTTATGACCTTCAGCAGGGGTTTCAGCTTAAACAAGTTTCTATGAGTTGCAGTCAAATCAGTGAGTTTAAGCAGACAGAGAAGGTTTGGGGCAGCAGCTCTAAGAAGTGGCTTAGACAAACTCTCTCTGCAGCTCAGGTAGTTACAACCTCCTTTGGGCTCACTCTTATCTCAAACAGTTCACCTTCAGCAGCCACATTCTTTTGTATGTTAACAAACACACCCTGTTGGTACATATTTATATATATATTTTTTTCCCCCTTGATGTTTCAACAGGATATGCTTGGCCTGAATATTTATCCCTTCCATATTGGAATAAATTTATGTGATAAATCAGCTGGTGTATACTGGACTAAATGAGGAGAGAATCTCGTAGCTTTTAGTGCTCTGTGTCTTCTGGAGGCTATTCAGCGCTGAGAGGAGGGATACCATGGCCATGAGTCACTGGGAAATCCAGGGCAGCCCTTAAAATTCAAAAAGCTCTGCTTAGAGAAGTGAACATGCAGTTTTCCTTCTCTCTCTTTCCCCCCCCCATCCAAAAAAAGATAATTAACCCATAAGGAGAACAGGTTAGTTATTACGTTTTCTCCAACCCAAATTCTTCTTCCTGTATAATTTAATCTTTTAATCACAGTCATTGCTACAGGAAGGAGTCAAATTGTTATTCTAGTACCCTCTCAGACTGAAAGAATGAGATCTGGGTTGGGAGATCTAATTAGATCTGCTGCCTGAGCCAGCAAGCTGCTCCCCACAGCCTCCTTGGTTTGGTTCTGGTGCTGTTATTGCTTTGGGAGTGTGTCAGATGGGAGACTGGCAGCCTCCACGTGTGGCCACGTGCCTTGGGTGACAAATTTCATTAGCAGAGGGCTAGAACTCATGGTCTGGGGCGAATGGGAGCAGGCTGGGGTAAATTGCACGTCATAATGACATCTTGTTTTAAAATCAAAAAGGTAAGAACAAAACACTGAAGGCAAAGCAGCGAGCTGAAACAGCCTTGCATTGCTGTAATAGGGCACAATCAGACTCTGCTGCATGTGTATTCAGTATTTCCACGACCCTCACAGGAGATTAAGGATTCTTTCTAACTCTGTTACACATTTGAATGCTGGCTCACATGCGGAATTCTAAATTATATATGAATGTGCTGAAGCTATATATAAATACTGGAAGAATAAACTGTCATGCTGCAAGCTGTGTTTTAATCACACAGCAATGGGGTATATTTTTATAGTAATTTTCATATTATTTCATATTATTACTTGTGTTTTAATCTGCATGTAGCAGTCTGCATCCGACTGATAGCAAGTGTGCACAGCTTCTCATTCTGTGAGTTCAGTGGTCATTAAACTCTCCTCAGCAGAAAAGTCCTGTGAGCTTAAATGAGATTTCAGTAGATCCTCGGGTTTTTACCAACCTCTTAAAGTGCTTAATTTCATCCCAGGAACTGAAATGTCCATGCTCAGTAACCTCAAATGGGAGTGCAGGGAAAAAAAATCTGAAGGTAATACCCTCCATAACGAGTCAATGCTGATACAAACACTCTTCTAAGCTGCCTTTTCGGTGTTTCAGTCCCATTTACCGGCCTCAAAACCAAACAGAACAGTTCCATCTCACCAACATTCCCTTTCTTTTCCTGCAGGCGCCAGGATGTGCTGACAGTCACACCATGGCTGGCCCCCATCGTCTGGGAAGGAACCTTCAATCCTGAGATCCTGGACGGTGCCTACAGGCCACTGAACCTCAGCATAGGGGTGACAGCCTTTGCTGTTGGAAAGTAAGGGAAGCACTCAGTGGGCACAGGGCTTGGGGTGATGCACTTCCCTGGGGAAAGATCAATTTGGCTTTTCTTGTCCTCAGCAAAGCTGAAATCTGTCCTAATCTGTCGTAGACTCTATGCCCACAAGATGACAGCACTTAAAGTACCCGAAAGTTGGTATTTTTTAAGAACTAGCAGGTGTCTTGGGAGTTAGAGCTGCAAATTGGGGGTTACTTGGTCAGAGTGGGGATAATTCACATATTCCTTGTTCTCCACTATACCTACTGCATGTGTACTGTGTGGATCCCTGCAGTGATAGTCAGCCAACACTCTTCACCCCTTCTTCCATTCACTAAAGTACCCTTCATAATCCCCTTGGAAACACAGAGTGGTTTGGGTTGGAAGGGACATTAAAGCCCATCTTGTTCCACCCCTTGCCATGGGCAGGGACACCTTCCACTATCCCAGGTTGCTCCAAGCCTCGTCCAACCTGGCCTTAAACACTTCCAGGGATGGGGCAGCCACAGCTTCTCTGGGCAACCTGTGCCAGAGCCTCACCACCCTCACAGGGAAGGATTTCTCCCTGATACCTAATGTAAACCTGCCCTCTGTCAGTTGGAAGCCATTCCCCCTTGTCCTATCACTGCCTGCCCTTGTAAAAAGTCCCCCTCCAAACAAAGTCCCTCCTTGTCTCTGCTGAGCTCTTCACGTGTGGTGCCTGCACAGGTACACGAGGTTTGTGAGGCGCTTCGTGCAGTCGGCCGAGGAGCACTTCATGAAAGGCTACCGGGTGAACTACTACATCTTCACTGACAGCCCCGAGACAATGCCCAGTGTCCAGCTGCAGCCTGGACGAAGGTTTGTCCTTGTCCCCATCAAGAAATACTCCAGCTGGCAGGAGATCTCCATGCGCAGGATGGAGGCCATAAACAAGCACATAGCAGAGGTGAGCCACAGGGAGGTGGAGTATCTCTTCTGCCTGGACATCGACATGGTGTTCCACAACCCCTGGGGGCCTGAGACCCTGGGGGACTCAGTGGCAGCCATACACCCTGGGTACTTCAGTGTCCCTCGGAACCAGTTCCCCTACGAGAGGAGGAGCAACTCAGCAGCCTACATCCCTGCTGGGCAGGGGGACTTCTACTACGGAGGAGCCGTGTTTGGAGGGCTGGTCAGGAAGGTCTTTGAGTTCACCAAGACTTGCCACATGACCATCCTGACGGACAAAGCCAACGGGATCATGGCAGTCTGGCAGGAAGAAAGTCACCTCAACAGGCACTTCCTCTCCCACAAACCCTCCAAGGTGCTTTCTCCGGAGTACATATGGGATGACAGGAAGCCAAAGCCCCCTGAAATTCGCCTCATACGTTTTTCCACAGTGGATAAGAACTACAAAGAGATAAGAGATTGACCACCTGATCCCTGCAGAGGTGTCCTCCCCACAGTCAAAGCCATGGAAATGAACTCACACAGAATATGCTCCACCATGAGTTTTTGTTCCCAGTATGGACAAACTGAGAAAGGAACGTGTGGACAGTTTCTCTGGAGAGAACAGGAGTCTAAATGCATTTCAGAAGCAGCAGCCAAAGTGTAGATGAGACTGAAAAGGTTTCTAGGTTCCTAATCTTTGTAAATACAAGCATCCTGCTTGAGGCTGCAGCACCCAAAAAGGCATCCAAAAGGCCAGTTTTCCAAAGCAAGGATGCAGATGCCTTTGCTTGAGTGTTTTCCTGAGGCCCAGCAGAAACTTAACAAGGTCGAAATGGTACTTGACATGCCTGTGGAGAAAATCTAGAGTTTTGGTAAAGACTTTTTCACTTAAAAAGAAAACGAATTTTGCAGGGCAATAAATTTTCATGCATTGTGATTTAAACTAATGCCTTTTGTCAGAATCAGGAGGAAACTTGCACTCGAAGCACGTTATCCCTGACTTATGTGCAGCAGGATTTCTTGGACCTTCTCAGCAGAGAACTGGTGCCAACCACTGCCAGTAAGAGCCTGGTCTGACAGGACAAATAGTGTGAACTCACATAGCAGTTATCTTCCAAATTCCAATCTGTGCTTTGGAGACCCAAGTTTAGACAGAACTGGCACAGCTCAGACCCAGACTGAACTTCTTTGGGTTTATTTCAATCACAGATGTGCTCTGAACCTTTTCCCTGGGTCACACGTCTCTGTGGATCATGTAATCTTTTCCAACACAGAAAATCTGGTTCTGAGAGACGTTCCTGTTCCCATCCTTTGCTTCAGCCCTTTCCAACTCCTCTAAGCTCTGTGAAATAAATTGGCGAGAAGCTGCCGGAGCTGACAGCAGGAGCTGATGCCTTTCCAGCAAACAGGGTGACTTCATTTCACGATGCAATGCTCTGGTGAAGCTGGGAGTTCAGCCTGGAGCTGGAAGCGGGCTGGGGTTAACGTTTTCCCTCTTTGGATGTGGCGAACCCTCTTTGGATGAACCAGGCAGTTGTGCAGCCTTCAAAGCCTGACAGCTCAGCCGGGTGAACGCGGGGGGAGCAGCCACTGTGGCTGTCAGCTGAGGTCACAGCACGGGGGTGCGTGTGCCACTGTGCCACCTCCCCTGTCACAGCAGGGCTGCCACAAACATCATCTCCCTTACGGCCCCGGGCGCTGCTACCGAAGGGCTGCGCGTCAGAGCCCTGCTCGTTTAGCGAGAGCAGGGAGAGGAGGAGCAGGGGTGAAAGGGTGAAGCTGCCTGTTTCTAAGGGAACGGTCTAGGAAAAAAAAAAAAAGAAAAAAGAAAAAAAAGAAAGAAAAGGGGAAAAGGCTCATTTGGCAGAGAGAGGAAAAACGGGAAAGAGGTGCCTGACTGTTCCTGCTTCTCCTCACATGAGAAAATCGCTGTATGGCAGCGAATCAAGTATTCAAAGCTTTAGGGCCCCACCACTGATTGCAGATGACTTAACGAGCCATTTCAGTCCTGTGTGAGCAGGCTGGAAATGGCACTTGCCACTGTCATTTCATTTTCCAGAAGACTAATTAGAAAAGCTTTCACGGTAGCCATAATATAGATAAGGTGCACAGAATACCTCCAGCCCAGAAGCCCCCGTGGCAGCTGGGTCTGTTAATTTGTGCTTTATCCAGCAGAGGGTCTTTTCTATTATATTTTCTCCAGACTGTTCTCAGTGATGTGGTGCAGGAGGAAGACACCCCTTTACATAACCAAATCAGATCTGAATCCCCTGAGAAGATGTCTCTTTGGTAACCAGGCACCTCATCTAAGCCAAAAGGGTGACAAAAGGTCCATATCCGAGTATTTCCAAAAAGATATATTCCCAGCAAACCCAGGATTAATACTGTTTCATATTTCTAGAACAGTTAGTGCCTGAAGGCCATGTTGAAACTGGGTTCTCATTGTGCCAGTTGTTACATATATGCATATGGATTCTTTACAAGCCAGAAGGAACTGTCTAGTCTGCTCTGCACAGGACAAGGCAGATAATTTTATCTCCTGGTGTCAGTACCAGGACGTGGCTGGGCTGGGCTAGATCTCTTAGAAATGCATTCAGATCCAAGAAAAACATGAAGTTATATAGCAGCCACAAATCCATAGATCAGCTGTGCCAGTGGCCAATTCCCCTTATGCCTTTATTCTGCTTGAAATTATGCTGGTTTTGCAGCCATAGGGCTTCACTCTGCCACACTAAATTATTGAACTCCTGTGCAGATACTCATAAATCCACCATGAGGGGAAGTTCTCCAGCACAGACTGGGTGATAGAAGGTGGTCTGTATTTCTGGGGTACCTGTTTGGAAAAACTTGTGTGAAAGGCTTGGTCCCAGCTCTGCATCTGAGCTGCCTTTTGGCTGAACCCTCGACCCTCTGATTGACACCATATTGGCCTGATTTGTGCTGTGCCAAACATGTTTATTTTCCTGGCAGCCCCGCAGCTTCTCCCCTGGGGAATATCTCGTGTTATGTGACACACTTCTGCTCGACAGGGCTGGGGTTTGAAGCAGTACCTAGAAACTCCCTGTGTCTCCAGGGAGCAGCAGAACATGTCTGCAGAAACACACCCCCCGGCGCCGTGTGGGGGCTGCTCCCTGAATCAGCTCCTGCCCTCCTCTAATTAACGAAAGCCTGGACTTGTGTTGTCATCTCCTGCTGATTAATCCCCTTCCCCCAACGCCAGCAGCAAGCTTTCCTTCTCCCACTTGGATTGTGCAGTCTGGGGCTTGTCAGCACTGTGGGAGCTTCACAAGGATCTGCTTTCTGGTCTGCTTTCCCCACCAACACCCAGTGGGGGAACTGAGGCACAGGGCAGGGAAAGCCTTCCAGACTGTCACTCCTGCATGGCAGGTCTTCCTCCATTCACCACGGGGGACAATGTTGTCTTATCTGTTCTTGTGCCAAAGGAATTTGGGCTTGGAAATAGAGAGAACTGCAGGAAAAGTGAATCACCACATGTAAATAAATCACCTGCCTGGGGATCTGATTGTGCTCTCAAGGTATTTCCCACTCAAGCCCTGTTTGCATTAACCAAGCCTCAGAGCAGTAGCTTGTTGCCTTCCCAAGGGCCCCTTGTTCCTTCCATCTCTTTCTGCTCAGCTGGAACAGACTCATCATTCATTGTCCATCTAATTTAAGAACCCATTTGACAGGCTGTTTCTCTCCTAGTCCCAGCTGGTGTCTTGTACAGTGCATCCACCCCCTGAGGGAAAACCTCTCTGGGGGGTGAGAAACAGAAACTTCCAGCACTGAATATGAGTCAAGGTGGGGCCAGACTGTGATCCTCTCGTTCCCCCCACTGACAGGACAAGGATCATTTCCACTAAGCCAGACTGGGACCCTTTTTTGCTCCTATTTGCATTTCCCATAACCCTCCCATAGGTGATGTTCCCTGACATTATTGACCAGAAAGGTCATTTTGAACCACTTTGGTACCCTGCACTAGTTATGAAAGACCTGCCCTAGTCAAACCTTCTCTGGGTGAGATCTGGGGCACGGAAACGAGATGGTCTTTGAACAGACATGGCCGAGGAAGGATAAGAACATCAGTTATATATTCCGTGCACAAAACCAGCTTGTGGAACAGCCACGTGCATCTGGCTGACTTAACACAGCTAAAGCAGCACAGTGGTGGAAAAGAGCTGGAAGGCTGGGAGCTCCCTGCCAGAGCTGCTGGGTTCACTCTCCTGCCCTTTGTCTCACCTGTTCAGCCTGGGGCTCTTCGAGCAAGGGGCTGTCTCTGTGTTTTGTTCTGTGTTTGCACAGGGACTAGTCTGGTTTGCTCACTAGGGAATGTGAGATACACAGAATGAGTTTCTTTCTCAGTGGGGATTTGCTCTGATCTCAAAGGGCAGCTCTTAGCACAAAGGTCACTATTTTCTCACTTGAATCCCACCTGCTCTGCTTCACCTCGCTGCCCCAGCAAGTCCCTGCGGGATCCCCAGGGATGGAACACTCAGAGAGCAACAGCTGCTCTCCAGGTGGAGTGACAACGACAGGACAGTGACAGGCACTTCCAGGGACAGCAGGAACTGGAGAAGGAGTTCCAGGAGTGGGTTGTACTTTACTCACACTAAACCCCCAATCCTGTAGTTCTGCTCCACACAATCAAATAATTTAGGAAAGCATCACTAGCAAAACGCATCTGAGGAGTGACATTTAAATGTCTGCCTGCCCACCCAACTCCCTCCTTTCTCCATGAGTGTTGCTGTACTGACTTGACTTTTCTTGTGCTATATTTAGCTTAAACATAGATCCACCAAATGTTGCTGTTTCATGTAATACTAGTGTAAAGCCTTAGGAATAGAGAGGCAGTTTTAACCAGAAATCTCTACTTGTATGCCCACCTCATCCCCCCTGCCCCCCTGCTGAACCTTTAGCTAATTTAAAGCAAGCCAGATGAGTACAAACTACCTTTAAAAAGTACTTCATTACGGTGTGGTTTTAGTGAGTTTTGCCAGCAGCAAATTACATAGTTCTAGACCTTTTGAAGTGTGCGTTTTCCCCACTGTTGAGCACTGACACCGTTACTATAATTAGAACGATGTTGCTCTGTAGCAGCATCTAGTGCCAGAGCCGGAGCCCTGGCAGCACCTTTTCCTTTCCTGGCAGCGCTCCCCAGTCAGAGCTGCTGGTTCTGCTGGCCTGGAGCCACGGAGGAGGGTCAGGTGCCATGGGCTGTGCCTTGTCACTCATTCCCACTGTCACTCATTCCCGGGCAGAACTGGCTGCTGGGGCCTGGGGGGGAGTGTCGGTCCCCAAAACCAGCATTGCAGCGGCCGGGAGCGCTCGGCCGTGGAGTGACGCAGCCTTCTCCCGGCTCCTGCTTCTCCTGACATCACTCTGTCATGGCTCGTGTCATCGGCCTCATGATGACAAACGATGGGTACCGGAGCCGCTCTGTTTCCAGGGCAACCCCGCTGCCTCCCCGGCTCCCGCTCCAGCGCGCCGACCGTGTGCCCGCAGCTCCGGCAGCGCTTCCCCGGGGTCCCTCCGTGCCCCGTTACGGTGTCGGGCTGAGCGGAGATGAGCAGCCGGGGTGTGTGTCTGTGCCCTGGCTGCCAGCCCCGGCCTCGCCTCCTGGAGGGTTCCGCCTGGGGACAGCCCGCGGGGCTGCGGGGGGCTCGTTAAGCCACAGCCCCGAGTTCTTCTCCTATTTATATCCCGCACGACACCCCCCTCCCCGGAGGGGTCTGAACAGGGCCTTCCCACGGGTCCTGCTCCCCCTGCGGCGCCCACAGCTCCCACCTCCACAAGGGAAAAGGCACCCAAAAAGCGGAGGGGCGTCCAA